AATCAGGTCCCTACCTATTCTTTGTTTATTTTCATTGTTTCATTGTCTGATAAGAACAATAATCCTCCTACAATTTTTTTACATTTTCTAGGTAGTAAAAAAGACATCTGTGGCAGGAAAACCTTGCTAAGTCAAAGGTTTCTAGGTGAAAAGTGATTCTGTACCTGAACTCAGGCTGGACCAAATCTGTCTGTACTGCCATGGAAGCAGCAGAAAATAGGTCTAGTAGTCATAATATTCATATTTGATATAGTTGACTTCATACTCATAGTTGACTTGATATTCATATTTGACTTGAAGGTTGTCCCCACCTTCCTGTCTATAGCTGTCTCCCTGCTCAGCTCCTTCCTTTTGAGATCCTGTGAATTTAGTCTTGAAATCTACGTATTTACATCTCTCCATTTATTCACCCCAGGATACTAGGAAGGACTTTTTCTCTGCTTTATTCAGCTTAGAGTGCTCACTGCTGCTGAGGATGTGCAACAACTGCATATCCCTATTTTAAACATCTCTTCACTTCAACTAGCATCGTTCTGCCTTTTATCACAGACTAGCTTCTGATTTTCTGTAACAAATGCAGAAGCTTTTTTATAGCAGTAATAGAATAGTTTCACTTGAAATATAGCTTTGATGTTTTTAAGAAGTGAGACTTTAAGAGAGACTTTTTTTTTTTTTTTTTTGAAGTCACATTGAGGCCATGCAGAATAAACTCTTAATCTCACATGGCAACAACTACAGTAAAAAGACATAGAGATACACAAAAAACCCCACAGGAGTAATAGAGCCCATGACACAGAACAAACTGATAAAGAAATACATGTGCAGAAATTACTTGGTTTTGTGGTAATTTAACATGTGACTAATGCCGCTGAAAAATTTTGTTACCCTGTAATAGAAAGGTGTTTATCAGTAAAAAGTCATATATAATTTTGTGAGGGTGATTTACCGTTCTGAGGTCCATTCTATAAGCAGGGATGTGTATGATACAGTTCTTTCTATGATACTGTAACTGGGTTTGCCTTTTGGGGTTCAGCTGTAAATAAGTAAATTTAGTTGAATATCATGTTTCCTACAGCAGCATACAAGCTCTTTGACCATACCCATCCAAAAAGTACATGTATGTTAGTGGAGAAGCTGCTGCTTGAGCATTCACACACCGTTTAAGGGATTGCACACATACTACCTAAGACTCCTGGGACTGGAGCCCCTTTGCAATGGTTGACTCCAGTAAGAAGAGGGGTGCCCCTTTTGACTCGTTGCTCACACATGCTTGCTCTAGGGTGTGTTTCCTCCTCCTTCATGCTGAGCCCCAGGTCTCCCACAGCAGTCTCAGTCATCTGATTCCAGGAGAAAATAATTGAAGAATTATGTGGTACAGCAAAAGAAACAGCTTGAGCTTGGTGCCTCTGTAGAGGGACCCTGAACTGAAAAGTCCTTTGGTAATTATGATTTATGCACACACTCCTCATGCTTTTTTAGCCCAATGATGATTTTTTTTGTCTGGGGTCTTCTAACACCTTATTGGATTCATTCTCTGCCTCCACAGGGGCAGGCCCTTAACTGTCCTTATTTTTATGAGTCGCAGCTTCTGCTGACAGTAATAGTTTCCTTATCTTCTGGTTTGTGCTTCTTGCACCCTAGCCTGTTGGCAGTGCATGGGACACTAAAAAAGTCCCAGACCTAAGATAAACATTACTTGGCAACAACTAAAACATCACTATGTTAAAAACATTCTTCTCAGACTAAAGAGAAAACACAGCCCTGTACTAGCCTCTAGGAAAATTACTGAGAAAACTAACTTTATTCCAGCAAAAAGCATATTGAGGTGAAAGTCCACAGCTTACAGCGTAAGGCTTCAGCAAATTAAGCTGCTGATGCTAAGCAACTAAAGCTAATCAAACAGCAAAATGAACCATACAATATTGTAAATCTAAGTGTCTCAAAATATTAAAATTTACTTATTTAAGCTAAATAACTAGTATCTCTCAACAATCCTCCCTTTGCTTTTATTAAGTATTCCTGCTAATATGCTGAACAAACTTTGAAATCTTTCAAATTGTGAGATCATTCTTAGTACATACATGGGTAACTATTGGTAGCAAGCACAAAATGGCTGGACTTGACACCCATTCTTTTTAATTTTATACTTAGCTGTGATGTACTGTTTGCTAGAGTAGACAGCTTCAGGAGAAGTGAAATATCCCCCTTCATTCTTTGTTGTTTTTCAGGAATCTGTTATTGAGCAGCTGGTTTGGCTATCCACAACTTTTTTGATGTGAAATCAGTTGTACCCAATTTTCTTTTCCTAATCCTTGAATAGCAAAATAGGAACACAGCAAGACAGTATATGGCACCTCCCATTTGGGTTCCAATTTTGATTTTCAGAAAAACACTTTAATTATGACTTTGTCTCCTGGCTGTATATCATGCACTTATATTTCAGGTAGTATAGGCTGGCACCATTTGGTTTATTTCTTTTTATCTTGAAACACTTTTTTGCATATATAAAATGTCTTGGGGCAACCATTCATCTCCACCCAAAGGCTGGTCTTACACTGATCTAGCAAGATGCCTCCCAAAGAGAAGCTCTGCTGTTCTTGATCCTACAGGTTGTCATGGAGTATTTTGAACATCCTGTAGAAATAAATTTAGTAACTGTGGGCATTTTAACTTAGTGTGTGAACATACTTTTGCTATCTTTTCTTTTACTGTTCACTCTTTCCACTTGTTCTGAAGACCATGGATGATATGGTGTATGTAACTTACTTTCTATTCCTAGTAATATGTATAGTTGATTGATTGTATTTGCTGTAAAATGAGCACCTATATCCATCTGAACTGATTTTGGAACCCTATATCTAGGTATATTTTCTTTCAATCACATTTTTACTATTCCTCCTATGTCAGATTTTTTTGTTGGGAAGGCTTCCACCCAGCCTGACAGTTGATCTACTATTACAAGCATATGATTGTATCCCTTAGCAGAGGGCATGTCTGTGCAGTCTACTTGCAGTTGCTGAAGAGAAGAGTCAGCACATGGTTGCCTCCCTAACTAAGTTTGGCCTGGTACTCAAAAACTTTTGACAAGTCAGGCAGTCACTGGTGATATTTTTGCAGCAGCATAATTTTCTGATGCTTCCCATACTTTCTGTACTTGATTAACTATTGCCTCTCCTCCCCCATGCATCATTTCATGGAACCATCAAGCCACAGTAATTATATATCTCTTTCGTAGTATTGGTTTCACTCCAATTGTCCATACTCCATCATCATCTTGGTTTGCTTCACATTTCTTCCACTTTTCTTCTGCTGTATAGTCTTTTTCATACACTGTTTTGGGGTCCATTTAATTTGGCCATTCACTTTTGTCTATTGCTGGAATTGCAACCATGCACTGTCTTAGAGCTGCTGTCCAAGGTCATTGCCTTTGCTAATTCCTGTAGTGTCCCTAAGTATGGGCTGGACAGTTCATGACAGCCAATTCTGACTCTTAACTATTTAGAACTTACTTATTTAAGTTAAATAGCTAATATATCCCGATATCCTACTAGTTCTAGTGGGCTGGAAAATCATAGTTGACCCGCTCTGCTCAGGTCAGTGCACTTAGTTGGGTAAGAATTAGTGGTTGTGACCCCCAGCACCCTCTGCTTGTGGTAACTATGTGAATCTGGTAGGCACATTTCCATAACAAGCAAGGCATGGGTATGTGAGCTCAAAAATAAGGGCTTCAGGGTGAAGGGATATGGTGTGATAATTAAAAAAAAAAACACCAACCCAGTGGGATGTGTATGCTGGTCTGTATCTTACATAGAGGAAGAGGTTATGAACCCAAAAAAAGATTTAAGTCAGATTCACCCTAATATGCAATGCAGAGGAAGAGTAGAAACAGCGTTTCAGGAGCAGTATTTGAAAATAGAGGCTCTGCTTTGTATTTCCCTTTTAATTCAGGGGTTTAGGGCACGGACAGTCTGTGAAAGTAAGCATAACAGTGTAATCCAATCCTGCCATTTCTCCTCCAAGTTGCAGGGACCCTGTTTCCAGATAATCCCTTCAGATATACGAGGTTAACGGCTAGGGACTTTGTAACAACCAACTTTATTGAAATTTGAGAGGGTAATTCCATTAAATGCCCGGTTCTTCTGCTTGCTGGGGAAGTAGCAGTACCAGCAAAATGATTAAAGCAAGGAAATAGCTTCTCCCCCCACATTTCTCCCCGTCTGCTTCTCAAAGCCACGGAAGGAGAGTTCATTGGGAAAATGAAGTAGCTGCAGGCTTGGGAGAGAGGTACAGCAAGCTCAGACTACTTGCGGGTTCCTATCACGCCCAGCGCTCCCTCCGACGAGGTCCGGCTAGAGTGAACCCGGCAGCTCCGAGGCGCAAGGTGCTCAGCACCGGAGTCGAAGACCCGCGGACAGCACCAGGGACTTCTAAGAAGGCGGCTACAAACAGCCGTGACTCTCGGCCTCAGATCATCATTCGATTTCTAGCGATAGGACGAGATTGCACAGCACAGAACTGGGCTGAGGGCTTCCGCCCATGGTAAAAAGCGGAGGGAGGAGGGAGGGCTGCGGGCGAGCATGTACCCAGGAAGTTCATAAGCCTCTTCCGCCCAGTGAAGAGCCAACAACAACAAAAAACACTGTGGCTTCTGTTTAACCCGAGAACTGCAGCGCAGCAGAAAACGCTAAATATCGCGCCCAATCCCTGAGCATTGCGGGCTTTTCGAAACCGGCAGAGCTGCGGGGCAGGCGGGTGGGGAGGGGGGAAGGGGGGTTGTGGCTTGAAACGGGCTGTACCGCGAGAGGCTCCGCCAGCATCTGTAGAAGTTCGTGCCGTTTTCAGACCAACAAAAAAGCGGTGCCGAAAAAACGGGAATTAGTAACAAGTGACATAAGAAAAAAAAAAGTATTTCAGCCCTTTTTAAGAAAGCTTGGGTGGCTCTTAAAAGAGCCGTTGGGTTTATCTGCAAAGCAGATGGGATTTTTTTCAGGACAGTTTACTTCTTCTTGGGCGCCGCCCTCTTCGCCTTAGCCGCTTTTGGCTTGGCTGCCTTGGGCTTAGCTTTGGACTTCACCGTCTTCGCCTTGGCTGGACTCTTCGCTGCTGCCGCCGCCTTCTTGGGCTTGGCAGCCTTAGTCACCTTTTTCGGGCTCTTGGCTGTCTTCTTGACTGCGGCAGCGGCCGGTTTCTTCACTTTTTTGGGGCTCTTCTTCGCTGTCACTGCTTTCTTGGGCTTCTTGGCAGCGCTGGCAGGCTTCTTAGCCGCTGACTTTCTGGGTTTGGCTGCGGTCGCTCGCTTCCTGGGGGCTTTTTCTTTCACCTCTCCCGGCTTTCTGCTAAGGCGGAAAGAGCCGGAGGCACCGGTGCCCTTGGTCTGCACCAGGGTACCTTTGTTGACGAGGCTCTTGAGCCCCAGCTTGATGCGGCTGTTACTCTTCTCCACATCGTAGCCACCGGCGGCTAGCGCCTTCTTAAGCGCGGCGAGGGAGAGCCCCTTGCGTTCCTTGGAGGCGGACACCGCCTTGGTAATCAGCTCGGTGACGCTAGGGCCCGCGGGCTTCCGGGCTTTGGAGCTGCCCGCCGCTTTCTTCGGCTTCTTGGCAGCCGTAGCCTTAGCCGGGGCTGGAGCGACAGCGGGGGCCACATCGGGCCCGGCAACAGGGGCGACTTCAGACATCACCACTCCACCAAACTCAGCGCGAACAATAGCGATGCCAGCCTCGCCACCCCTTTTTATAGCGATTCCCGCGCGCTGATTGGTGGGGTCTGGACCGCCTTGCCGCCCGCCGCCGCGCCAGTTGTGTTTCTTCCCTGTCAAAAAAGGGCTTTTTCCTCACGAAATTTAGTGCCGATGCACCCCATTTCTTTCTGGACGGGAAGGGGAGAGTCTGTCCTACGATCTAATACAGTTTCCCTTTGGAAGGAGCAGAAATGTGGGAAAAAAGAGCCCTGAAACTCCGAGGCGTGTAGCCGTTGAGACCCCAGGAGGTAGAAACTTTCGGATTATCTTTTAAATTAAAATTATACCATAGGATTAATTGGCACAGCAGAAGTGAAATCTTGTGCTTTAGAAGGTCTTCTCCAGATAAGGGCGAATACCAGAATGGTTTGAAGGGTTGGTCTCACGGTAAATTGATATTAAAGCCGAGGAAGTAACACAGTTTCACCCCGTGGTTCCGGACATGAATGCAGAACTGCTTCCCTCTGCCGAGTCACATCCCTCCGAATCCCATCACCCCGCTCAAAGCCCCTTCAGTAACCACGGTGCCTTGGTTAATGCCTTTTAGGGAAGTGTTTGTGCTTCAGCAGAGTGTCTGAAGCCGATGTTACTTTACCTCTGCTTCTGTATTTCAGTGGCACGAAACCCAACGTGCCCCTCTGAAGGCTGATGTTCTAGCATCACTCTTTCCATCTAACCTTAACAAAGTCTCTTTCGTTTGTTAAATTAGAAGTCATGATAGCTGCAATCAGTATATATTTGGGTTTAATCTTGAAGTGTATAAAAAGCACTTCTCATTGCATTGTGATTTCTTAAAATTGATTGGGAAATAGAATCTGATATTTAAACAGGCCACGGAGTTAGTGCTGACAATTCGATCCTTTGAGTACGATCTGTAATCAGGACACTTCACTATGCAAAACTGATCTCTGTTCTAATGAATGAATGTCGATGCTGGAAGGATATTATTTTGATAACAACATCTGGAGATTCACCACTTTACTCCTTTCCGAAGTAAAATACAAATTTGCACTGTTTCAAGAGGGTTCTTTCTTCAGGTCATTGGCGGCTCCATATTACCAGCAATGGATAAATTCCCACTTTCTTACTTCACTTTCAATGACATATTTATTGCTTTTTAATATGAAACTATTCAGATTCTGCCTGAAATAAAGTTGTGTTTCGTAGTCTACATGCCAGGCTATGATCAGGTCCTAAAAACAGGTGAGCAGATCTATTCAGGAATAAAAGAAAATGATGTGTGAATGAAATGACAATTTATGGCATAGCATGGAATTCCTGCTATCTAAGACTGTGAAAATATGCAAATAGGCTGATTTGAATCTCCATGTGGCTTGCATACTTTTTTTTTCCCCCACTTCCTTTTCTTCTCTGCTTGGAGGTAAAATGTGGGAAAAAAAAAAAACAGCTTAGTGAGTTCTCCCAGCGAATGCATTTCAGCCTGTAAACTGAAGGTTAACTAACTAATAAATTAACTAACTCTAATGCTCATTTTATCTGATGCTTATTTCTTGTAATGGGGACGATTAAGGTCTTAATAGGCATGACCTGACACTGTATCAGAACTGCTGATATTCTAATGAAAATATTTTTCCTAAGTTCCTAGTAATGAACCCTCATGGTAAGAAAGAACTGAAATTTCAAGTCCTCCCAGCAGCAGTGGAGCTAACATTTTGCAACTCTCTCATATACTCATAGCTATAAATAAGTGGTTTGTTTCAAGCTATTCACATTTAGTGTCAGGTTTCTGTCATTTCTCTGGACTCACGCAATAAGGAATATTGTCATACTTACCAGTCTTGAAAAGAGTCCTAGTAATCTTTGTATTTCTTTATTATTTTATTTCATTTAATTTTATTTTATTTTAGCAGAAATGGACTCTGAGATTCCTGCAAATAGAAACAGAATATTTTCTGCTTTTATTGCCACAATTGTTTCTTGGCTTACTTGGATACTGTAAAGTGTTTAGAGATTTTATTCTCTCAAGACAATCATTGCTACATGTAACATATATTTCTGTATATTGAAGATTATCTATGTCTACTATGCAAGACACTTGTGAGCAAAATAAGACAGACTGGTAGCATAAGGCTATGGGTTCTCATGAGAAAAAAAAACCAAACAAAAACAAAACAACAAAACAAACTTTATAAGCTTATCTGCAGTGTAGGTCAAATCAAAGATCTTCATAAAATAGAAGTCAGGAATGGCAGACATATGTGAGGAAGCAACTTGCAGTTCATTTGCCTCCCTCTGGCTCTTTTACTCAGTTTCAACTTTGCTTTTGGATGCTCAAGAATAATATCCTAGAACTATCCATGTATTTTGATGGTAATTCAGTTCATGGTTTTTAATTTCTCAGCCACTGCAGACTAAAACATTTTTTTTTTTCAGTCACTGTACAATATAATCCAAAACAGAGAGCATGTGCTTGACTTGGTGAAGTTCTGTAGGTACAGCAGAAAGGCTTCCCCAAGATTGATAATCCATTATTTATTTGGGCAGAAGTTCTATTTGGGTATTGCTGCTCCCTCCAATTTTCCTTCACTTTTAGAATCAGCAAGTGTCAATAAAACTATTGAAGTATTTTACTAAAATGTTGTTACTTTTCTTCCAGAAAATGCACACTTTGATGAACTACCACACGCCTATGGACAGATTCTACCCAGAAATTCCATAAGAGGTTACTAGGGAAAATAAACCCCACCAAAAACCCAAACCAAAACTAAACAAAGAAGGAAAACCAAACAAAAAAACCCAACAACAAACCAACCAACAAAAATCAAGCCACCATGGAAAGAACCATTGACAGGAGAATGTGAGGGGTTCAGGTTCTGCATTGGAACCCCAAACCTGCTTTGGATCACTTCAACTTTGTGCAGACCATTTACTGAAACTGGACATCTACCCTTACTCCTATTCCAAGGAAGAACGAGGAAAGTAGTACCAAGTGATTGTTCCATTTGTTTTAGTAGCCTCTTTCAAAGCTGATTCTCAGAAGAGGTGTCTTAAAGTTCAGTAAATCTTGACTCCCTGCATCCTGCTTAAGAGTCATAGACTCTCACTGTTTTCCTCTGCACCTACTGACATTTATTTTCCTGAATTACTAGGAAATGTCCTATAATAAATGTTGATGCAGTATTTTCATTAGCACCATGCACAAATGACCAGCAGCCAATTTCTTCACTGAATTCTGGCTTCCATAATGGTAAGGCTCTTAGCCTGGTTGTAGGGTAATCTGATTTTATTCTTCTGAAAAATATATGGGCATAGGCCATAGGTCATGGTGAGATATGCACTACAAAACGTTCAGAAGAGTCTAGTCCATGTTTGAAAGGCATCTTAATTTTATTATTTTTTTTTTTTTTCCATGCAGCAGAATGTGTCTCATTGTTAGGAGCTGGAACAATTCTTTTTAAATGACAAAAACACTACTTAAATACAAATGAAAACTACTTCTTTATCTTTCAGGTTTTGTCCATTAGCACTCGTGAGAGAATAGAAACCTGACTTCTCAGCATGCAGAAGCTCCAATGGACTGAAATTTTCGATTTTTCATTTTCTGCTATGTAGAGTAATAGCAGTTTCCAAGACAGCATTGGACCTAAGGGGTGCTTCTAGAGCTGCCTCACTGGTGCAAGGATGAGAATCATAAAAAGGAAGAATTTACACTCACACAACAGTATAGATGAAATAAAAAGCGTTGGCAAGGAAAAAAAAAAACCAAACATTTCCCAGGTCATACATTCCTAAATGTAATTAAAGAATGAGCTGATCTACAGTTTTTCTCTAAAAATCTGATTAGAATTTCATTTCAAAGTGCAAGGTTACTTGGTGAATGGAAACCTTCTTGCCCAACTGGCAGTTATTGCCGTTTGGAAACTCTACGTATGGCACAAAGAGATAAAGTTTTGATGTACTAGTGAGAGAAGTTGAAGATTTTTGTGAAACTCTGAATGCACTTGAATATATATTTGTTTGTTAGTTTCCTCCATGTAGCAAACGACACAGAGTTCTCTAACTCCACTGGTTCCAGTTGGCGTAATTTATATTACTGTGTAACAGCCCAGGCACTAAGGAGTACTTTAGAGCAATGTCTAGGTATTTGTACACCTAAAGGAATTTCTCTCTGACTGCTTCAAAGCCTGCTAAATCAGTGCTGTATTTTTAACTTTGAAAATATAAAATTTGTAACAGCATAGCAAGGCTTTTATTTTTTTTTTAATTTCTATTATAGTAACACAAAATGCGTGTTGTCTTTTCTGATAAAATAAAATTACGTATGTACTTTAATTCTTGAGGCTCCTCAATTACTTCAATAACACAGTGATTAACCTTTTAACTAAGTGTTTACATAACACCAGAAAAAATTAAGTAAAGCCTAATGGCTGCATACTGACAGTGAAAGGAAACAGGTTGTCAGGAAAGCTTGCATCAATGCTTTGTAACTAGAAATTCTTGAGTGAACACCCAAAATTCAAGGAGATGCTTGCTCTACCAGCCTAAATTCGGCCACTTTGTTATTTTGTGAACAATTAAATTTTGAACATACAAGGAGATTATCAGGTGAATTCGTCATGTACTGAAGTAGAGAGAATGGGGAAGATAATAAAGAGGACTCCTAACTAAGTGAAAACGTGATTCAGACAACCACCAAATACATGGTTCTAAGACTCCATGTATATAAAAGCATTTAGGGATGAGATCAAAGGACAGAGATTGTGCTGCGTTTTGAATTGCATCCTGGAAAGAGACTTACGATCCTAACACTGGAAGAACTGAATAATTCACAGGAAACTCTCACCTGAGCCCATATCCCATCTGTCACAGAGGCCAGTAAAAAAAGAAAGAATGTAAGAGCAATAAGTGATATCAAAATGATCCTTTAGGTCCTAGTGATTTGTAGGCCAAGGACTCACCAAGTCAGAGGGGATGTCTTTGAATTAAGGAGCTTTAAGTATTTATTAATTGGTTTTTTGGACATAATGCATCTAATTTTTCATGCTTTAGGGTGTGGCTTTAGCACAACAAATTATAAAAGGTTGAGGAATAGGTACAACGGGAATGGTAGATGGACAAACGGCTGACGGACATGTATACTACACGGAGTGTATGCCTTTCAGAGAAGAATGACACTTATATACAGTTAATTTCCTCTGTGTGTGTATGTAGAAAATGGTGCTGGAAAACATGCTTTCTATGGTGTAGATGAAGTAGGACAAAGTGGAAGCCAGCAAAGAGAGTGAACTTTCCCGCAGCTGAAGAGAGGTGAAGAAATGATAGCAGGGAATGACAAGTCATGTGAGAAAAAAAAAAAAACAAAAAGAAATCAGGTATCTTTAGGGCCAGGCAGGGGCATTTCTGTATAAAAAAAATCTGAGCTGAATAATGCTGGAGAAGAATGACCTCACCATTATATTTTTAGATCACATCACTCACACAGACCTTCCCTCCTGGAGTCACCGTAACGGAGGCAGAAGCAAATGCCAATGTCAGAGAGACAAAGGATTGTCAAAGTTCACAACAATCTCCCCGAGTCCTTCGTCTTGAAGGGCTCTCCTCTGTATCTGTGCGGATAATGGCATACTCAGCCATGATGAGGACAGGCAAATGTTCTATATTTGAATTATGCTAATCTCATAGCCACAGTAGGACCTGAGCTATGAAAGGGTAGACTGCAAGAATAGCCAGCAGATGAGCCATTTTGGGAGTCATAAAGTCACACCAAAATAACAAAGAGAAATGTTGTCACTGGCAAAGGAAAAAACGTATTACATGAATGAAAAAGTATCTATCCACTAAGAATCACATCAGGCCTTTGAAAACATGAACGTAGCTGACATAGGCATTTTTGCTGTGCATTTGACATACATGACAAATTTAGACCCAGTTAGTAGGACTGATCTAAATAGAAATATGCTGCTTTCTAAAATGTGACCAGGATGTCTGGGACTTACTATGAAGCAACTCCACAGGCTTTTCTCCACAGGGAGAAAATAGAGTGCTTTTTCAACTTCTATAATGAAAAGGACGTTTGTGGACTTATTACTCTGAGTCAGGCATAGCCAGCTTTACCCTATTTCTGGTCTGAAGTAAAGACATAGACACGTTTTTCCTTATGCTTCAGTGCATGTAACATACAACCATAAGGCCAGGGGGGTGACCTGTCAGTTCTTAAATTTAGCAGCCGGTTCTCAATATTACCATCGAGTCCTTCTGCTGTGACCTTAGAACTGATGAGAGATGGTCAACATGACCTTCGGAACGGTCCGCGGAGGAATCAAGGCAGTCCGGTACAAGATCACGACGCTGTCGGCCCCTCAGAGAGGGAAGGTCTGTGCGCTCTCGCCCCGCCTTTGGGGGGAAGATGCCGGGAAACGGCGCTTCAGGGCCTCCGGGCTGAGGGATGGCGAGCGGGGCGGAGGCAGAGGCGGGGACCGGCGCGGCAAAGAAGGCCGGCGCCCGGGGGAGGTGCCCGAGAGCGGCGAAGGGCGAAAGCCCCGCCCCTCGGCGCGCACGCAGGGGGGGGCAGGCGCTGCCCCCGTCAGCCGTGCCCGCCCCTGTTTCCAATCAGGTCGGATCCCAGCGTATAAAGAGCGCGGCGCGCCCAACTGCATTGTTTAACCTCGTTGCGGGCAAAGCAGCAGGATGTCGGGTAGAGGCAAAGGCGGGAAGGGGCTCGGCAAAGGTGGCGCTAAGCGCCACCGCAAAGTGTTGCGCGACAACATCCAGGGCATCACTAAGCCGGCTATCCGCCGCCTGGCTCGGCGTGGCGGCGTGAAGCGCATCTCGGGGCTCATTTACGAAGAGACTCGCGGTGTGCTGAAGGTCTTTCTAGAGAACGTGATCCGGGACGCAGTCACCTACACGGAGCACGCCAAAAGAAAGACGGTGACAGCCATGGATGTGGTCTATGCTTTGAAGCGCCAGGGGCGCACTCTCTACGGCTTCGGCGGTTAAAACTTTCCACTCCCGTGTGTACATTTCGCGAACCCAAAGGCTCTTTTAAGAGCCACCCAGTTTGTCTTTTGAAAGGGCTGTGTCGCCGTATTCGGTTTTCGTTTGTATCCCTTTTGTTTTTTGGCAGAGCTGTAGCCGGTGTGGTTTAACTTAATCTCGAGTTCGTAGTGTTCTGCGGCAACGCCGCTCTCCGGTTGTTTTCTTTCGACTTCGTTTCCGCCGCTTTTGTAGGAGCGTGCTCGAGGTGCTCTGCCGTGCAAGGCAAGACGCGGTGCTGGTTTGTGGCTTCCCGAAGCGCTTTGCCGGTGCCAGGGCGTCCTGGAAGCTGCTGGGGCCTGGAGGGTAAAGCCGGCTGCCTTTCAGCAGCAGCTTCGCTTTGAGCAAAAGCAGGACGAGGCGATCGTCTCTCATTCTGATGAAATAAAAAGGGGGTGAAAGCCGTCTCTTAACCCGCTAAGGTTGTCAGTACTCGCCAGCTGCAGCCCCTTTGCTTCCTCCCGCCCGCTTGCTCCTGAATGGGGTAAGGGCAGTGACGGCGCCGAATTCGCTTCAGCCGGCGGTTGCGGAAGGGGGCTCCGCGCTCCGGTGCGGGGGAAGGCGTATGTGTGGGCAGTGGAGGTCTGCCGGTACCTGCAGCCGGGCCACATCTCTGGCGGGGAGCAGGCTAAACACGCTCACTCTAATAAGCCGCACGGGCCACGGTTGGATTCGGGCAACTCCACGTTCAGTTGAACTCGCGTTCCGCGGGCGCTCGCCCCACCAGCACCATCGCGTGAGTGGAAGGGTAACACAGCGCTCACCCGCCAGACGTGGTGACGGGCGGGACACACAAAAGAAAATGCATTTCCTTCCCCAGCCGTGCCTCAGCCCTCGGGGATAACTGCGCCGGGCGCCTGCAGACGGGAGAGGGTGGTCTCCCCCGCTATCCCCCCGACCCTCCACCCAAAAACGTGGGGATTCCACTTCCTGCTGCCTACTTAACAGCATTTCAAGCTCTTTCGCAAGGCTGTGGGTGGCTCTGAAAAGAGCCTTTGGGGTTCGCTTCGGTGGGCAGGAAATTTATCTGCACACGACTTTTACTTGCTCTTGGCCTTATGGCTCTCAGTCTTCTTGGGCAGCAGCACGGCCTGGATATTGGGCAGCACGCCACCCTGCGCGATCGTCACCTTGCCCAGCAGCTTGTTGAGCTCCTCGTCGTTGCGGATGGCGAGCTGCAAGTGCCGCGGGATGATGCGAGTCTTCTTGTTGTCGCGGGCCGCGTTGCCCGCCAGCTCCAGGATCTCGGCCGTCAGGTACTCCAGCACGGCTGCCAGGTACACCGGGGCGCCGGCGCCCACCCGCTCCGCGTAGTTGCCCTTGCGCAACAAGCGGTGGACGCGGCCAACGGGGAACTGCAAGCCTGCCCGCGACGAGCGCGACTTAGCCTTGGCACGCGCCTTCCCGCCCTGCTTTCCGCGTCCGGACATCTTCGCTTCTGGGTCTGTCGGTCGATACCAAACACCCACTACCAACGCAGAATTAAGACAGGTAAAGCGTCTGCGCCCTGACGCCAGCCCTTATATCGCTTCCCTTTGCGCGGCCGGAGGTTCCCGATAGGCCGATCCGCCTCCTCGCACAATACGCACCCAATAGCGCAGCGAATCTCATACCGACCAATCGCGAGGGGCACAGGCGCTCCCGAGGCGCCCAAGAATGAGGCGGGAGGGGCGGGCTTCCGCAGGCGGCTCCGCCCGGGCGCAACGGTCGCTCCCGCCGCCTCAGCTTGGACCCGGGGGGGACTGCGCACCCCGTATTTCCTGCGGTTCTCTACTCCTTCGTTTAAATGCTTTGAATCGGGACGGCAAAGTGTGGGTTGGAGGGGGCAGAGGAGGAGGAAGAGGCAATGTGGCTGTGTCGGTGAGCGGGAGTGAAGAGGGTTGGCAAAATGCTTCCCTTCCAACCCCCTCTCTCCCCCCCCCCCCCCCCGGTTCATGCTGGGCTTTTTACCAGGGGTATGGTTGTGCTCCTTACCAACACTGCTTCAGCCCGGGAATTTTCCGATTTACAAAAAAATATGCACGATTTCTTGCGCCCCCTGCAAATGCTCAAGAGGAGACACAGCCTGAACACAGACTCTGTTATTACTGCGTGGTAATAAAAGGTCAGCTACAGCCTGATTTATATAGTGGTCTAACACCGACTTTCGCACGTAAAAGAACTGCACGTTTCGTGTGTTAAGAAAAGCAGGGCAGCCAATCACCTTTCGTTTCTTTACCAAAATAATCTCTTAACAGTGGACAATTACGCGAACGCGGTTTCTAAATTCAAATGCACATTACATACAAGTTTAGCAGCCTCTTCTAGATTTCGATGTTAATATTATTTTATTAATATTTTGTTAACATGCTCCAATACAAAAACTAAGTGTTAACAGCTCTCCCACTGGTTATGGAGTGGCTCTTAAAAGAGCCTTTGTGTTAAATATTTTCTCAAATAGAAAGCAAAATTGTGAAAACGTCTAGGCGCGCTCGCCACGGATACGTCGCGCCAGCTGGATGTCCTTGGGCATGATGGTGACGCGCTTGGCGTGGATGGCGCACAGGTTGGTGTCCTCGAACAGCCCCACCAGGTAGGCCTCGCTCGCCTCCTGCAGCGCCATCACGGCCGAGCTCTGGAAACGCAGGTCGGTCTTGAAGTCCTGCGCGATCTCACGCACCAGGCGCTGGAAGGGCAGCTTGCGGATCAGCAGCTCCGTCGACTTCTGGTAGCGCCGGATCTCGCGCAGCGCCACCGTGCCGGGACGGTACCGGTGCGGCTTCTTCACACCGCCTGTGGCCGGCGCGCTCTTGCGGGCCGCCTTGGTAGCCAGCTGCTTGCGGGGAGCCTTTCCGCCTGTCGATTTACGAGCAGTTTGCTTCGTACGCGCCATAGCTGCCAGCAAACAACTAGTCCAATGAACAGCAGAATCACCGAAACGATTTCTTCGGGCGAGATATATATAGCACTGATGCCCTCTGTGATTGGCGGACGGGGAAGGGCAGCCTTTTATTGGAGGATTGAAGTTTTAAAATTCCCGCCTCCAGGCAGTTACCGCCCAGCCCAGGCACCATTTCTGCGATGAGAATTATTCATACTGGACCCTAATTATTAAATTTTTTCGCTCAGTGACAGTAGAGGAAGGTCAGGGACGGCTAGAAAGGAATGAGCTGTGGGTCTTTTGCAGGGGGCGCAAGAAATCGTGCATATTTTTTTGTAAATCGGAAAATTCCCGGGCTGAAGCAGTGTTGGTAAGGAGCACAACTATACCCCTGGGAAAAAGCCCAGCATGAACCGGGGGGGGGGAGAGAGGGGGTTGGAAAGGAAGCACTTTGCCAACCCACTTCACTCCCGCTCACCGACACAGCCACATTGCCTCTTCCTCCTCCTCTGCCCCCTCCAACCCACACTTTGCCGTCCCGATTCAAAGCACTTAAACAAAGGGGTAAAGAACCGCAGGAAATACGGGGTGCGCAGTCCGCCCCGGGTCCAAGCTGAGGCGGCGGGAGCGACCGTTGCGCCCGGGCGGAGCCGCCTGCGGAAGCCCGCCCCTCCCGCCTCATTCTTGGGCGCCTCGGGAGCGCCTGTGCCCCTCGCGATTGGTCGGTATGAGATTCGCTGCGCTATTGGGTGCGTATTGTGCGAGGAGGCGGATCGGCCTATCGGGAACCTCCGGCCGCGCAAAGGGAAGCGATATAAGGGCTGGCGTCAGGGCGCAGACGCTTTACCTGTCTTAATTCTGCGTTGGTAGTGGGTGTTTGGTATCGACCGACAGACCCAGAAGCGAAGATGTCCGGACGCGGAAAGCAGGGCGGGAAGGCGCGTGCCAAGGCTAAGTCGCGCTCGTCGCGGGCAGGCTTGCAGTTCCCCGTTGGCCGCGTCCACCGCTTGTTGCGCAAGGGCAACTACGCGGAGCGGGTGGGCGCCGGCGCCCCGGTGTACCTGGCAGCCGTGCTGGAGTACCTGACGGCCGAGATCCTGGAGCTGGCGGGCAACGCGGCCCGCGACAACAAGAAGACTCGCATCATCCCGCGGCACTTGCAGCTCGCCATCCGCAACGACGAGGAGCTCAACAAGCTGCTGGGCAAGGTGACGATCGCGCAGGGTGGCGTGCTGCCCAATATCCAGGCCGTGCTGCTGCCCAAGAAGACTGAGAGCCATAAGGCCAAGAGCAAGTAAAAGTCGTGTGCAGATAAATTTCCTGCCCACCGAAGCGAACCCCAAAGGCTCTTTTCAGAGCCACCCACAGCCTTGCGAAAGAGCTTGAAATGCTGTTAAGTAGGCAGCAGGAAGTGGAATCCCCACGTTTTTGGGTGGAGGGTCGGGGGGATAGCGGGGGAGACCACCCTCTCCCGTCTGCAGGCGCCCGGCGCAGTTATCCCCGAGGGCTGAGGCACGGCTGGGGAAGGAAATGCATTTTCTTTTGTGTGTCCCGCCCGTCACCACGTCTGGCGGGTGAGCGCTGTGTTACCCTTCCACTCACGCGATGGTGCTGGTGGGGCGAGCGCCCGCGGAACGCGAGTTCAACTGAACGTGGAGTTGCCCGAATCCAACCGTGGCCGGTGCGGCTTATGAGAGTGAGCGTGTTTAGCCTGCTCCCCGCCAGAGATGCGGCCCGGCTGCAGGTACCGGCAGACCTCCACTGCCCACACATACGCCTTCCCCCGCACCGGAGCGCGGAGCCCCCTTCCGCAACCGCCGGCTGAAGCGAATTCGGCGCCGTCACTGCCCTTACCCCATTCAGGAGCAAGCGGGCGGGAGGAAGCAAAGGGACTGCCGCTGGCGAGTACTGACAACCTTAGCGGGTTAAGAGACGGCTTTCACCCCCTTTTTATTTCATCAGAATGAGAGACGATCGCCTCGTCCTGCTTTTGCTCAAAGCGAAGCTGCTGCTGAAAGGCAGCCGGCTTTACCCTCCAGCCCCCAGCAGCTTCCAGGACGCCTTGGCACCGGCAAAGCGCTTCGGGAAGCCACAAACCAGCACCGCGTCTTGCCTTGCACGGCAGAGCACCCCGAGCACGCTCCTACAAAAGCGGCGAAAACGAAGTCGAAAGAAAACAACCGGAGAGCGGCG